GAAGTTAACACATTTTGCAAAAGCAAGCTTGATAATTTACTTGAATTTATTTATGTATTTTATGTCCTGTACAATGATGGTAAATTTTAAACAACAAAAAAGATCAAAATTTTAAAAAAAATATGATAATATGCACACATTTAGTATATGTACAAAAACCCTTCTTATGTACAAATACAAATACACACACACATATATCTACTATGCACAGGCACTTATGAGCTATATATAATTCGTAGCAAAAATGGCCTACCTCAAATACAACAAGGGGAGCAAGGAGGACAATGTCCAGTAAATACGAAATTCGCCAATAAAAGTGCTCTCTAATCTCTCAAAATTCTAACTTAAATATAACAGACAGGAAATATAAGTAACAGAAAAAATTGACTACACGAACACTTTTCAAGGGAAAATCTATTACTAAGGAGGCAGAATATTTGATTCCTTCTATTGTTGCGGATATTTCATGCATATTGAGGATGAAAACCAATTTTACAAAAACTTATGAGCCGTTGGGTATATTCCAAAAAAATGGTGAACTATATATAGGGAAAATCTGGATTTTATTTCAACTTGAAATGACAATATGATAAGTAGATCCTGAAGTTTTGCCTGGCTGCATGACACATATAAGGATCCTTCCGATGAGTTAATGGGATTCTGTAACAAGCTGAGGCATCGAATCTTACTTCCCTGTATATTCAAATTAAGCAAATGCTTCGGTAGGCTCGTGATAGTATGCTTGTCTCAAGTGTGGGAGCATCTGGGTTCGACTAATAGCTCGATCAAAGCAAAAACTTTAAAATATGCTGCTTCTCCACAAAGCTTATCATGAGTAAGAAATAAAAGAAGAATGTGTCTGAGGACACGAATGCTCCCGCTCAAGCTGCCAAAAATTTGAAATCTGTCTGCGTGTTGTGGTTCTCAGCACTGTGTATGAGTTTCATAAAAGCTGGGCGCGACAAACTAAAGTTACGGTTGCGGAGTCTGAAAAAAATACAATTTGCAAGTTAAAAAGGGGCATAACTCTAGAACGGTAAATAAATCGCTGCCCAAATTCGAACTCTGTCTGCTTGTTGTGTTTCCTAGCATTGTGTATAAGTTTTTGAATTTGAATAAGTCAAACTTAAGTTAGAGTGCGGAAACGAAAATGGGACGGACGGAAAGACGGGAGGACGGTCAAGGTCTTAATACCCCATCGTAGTCGACGGGGGAAGGGGGGTCATAAACATATACTTATGTTGTGCTGTTACACCACTGTCCCTGATTTAACATTCTGTATATGCCTGTCCCAAATCAGGAGCCTGTATTTCAGTGGTTGTCACGCTGTTTATCATGTTTGTTTTACGTTAATTGTTTTTTTTTGTTGATAAGTCTAGGCGTTAGTTTTCTTTTTTGAATACTTTGACATTTTTCAATTCAGGTCTTTTATAGTTTGCTATGCGGTATGGGTCTTGCCTATTGTTGAAGATCGCACATATAGTTGCTTACCTTCTACGTCATTGGTCTCTTGTGGAGAGTTGTCTCACTGGTAATCATATATACCGCACATCTTCTTAATTTTATATAAGTAGGGTATATTCATATACATGTTTATATGTTATCGTCCTGAATATGCATACAATATTTGCGATAGGACACAAAACAGTCATTCACGAACTATTATTGGTGCATATGTAGAAGCATCAGGAAAAAAACATTTAGTTAAACGTGCATTCATTTATACAGGAGGGATTTCACACGGTCAAAGGGTATTTACTCTACATCGATTGCAAAAAGCTGTGGTGTTGAAAATTCAGCTCAAACTATATTTCAAAGTACCAGTAAACAACATGTTAAATAATAAAGACACCAACGGTACACGAGTGTAAAACGGAACATCGAACTCCCGATTCTGAACGGAGTGGAATCAGCATCGTGGATAAAGACCACAATGTTGCAATTTCCCCTTGTTATGAATATATATTTTCCAAAAAGCTTCGTTTGCATTTTGATTCTTTGTGCTTTTTCTTGTTATGACAAAAGTTATGATCAACTTATTGAATGATAAGCAAACAGGTCAAGGTGCGTTATTTCAAAATGCATCTTCGCTTAAATGGTCCCATAATAAAGGTATACATATTCAATAGTTCTTAAATGAAATGTGACCGCTGCATTTTTTCTTAAAAGAGACGAATATGCACTTTAATGATTTTGTGTTGACTGGATATTGTTGTACAGGGGGATTAGGGTCACAACAATATTAATTGTCTAGGTTATATCAGAAGGTTTCTTTTAACTACCATGTTTTGTTTGTAATGAGCCTATAGTTTTAAATATCAAGAAAACCAAAAGTGTTTTACAGAATAAGAAAATATATTGCGAATATTATATTTCACAGCATTTCAAATGGAATATATCATTGTGCACAATGTTTTATTTGGTTTTCCAATCTAATTATTCGTAATTTAAGATTACTGATAGCAGTGACGTATGATACAAGAATGGGGTAATATTATAAGGTCAGGTAATAAACAAGCTTTTATAGGGCACCTATCCGATGATTTTCCTATGCAGGGGGGATTTAATGTTGATTGAGAAAAAAATTGTCATGGGTTTGAACACTTTTACTAGTTTTATTAGTTTTTAATCCATTATAACCTAAGGCGAATTAATTGGAAAATACTTAGACGTAGGCCTTTTCTGTCTTTGGCTAGACAAAGTTAAAATAAAACTATACCCACCCTCATTTCACTTACATAAAGGAGTATAACTATGCTTTGCATTTTAGTTTCAAACCAAAATAAAGATATTTTATTAATGTTTAACCTGTCGTAGAAATTACAAAAGTAATTAAAAAAAGGCTAACTAAAAGTATAGTTCCATATCCTAATCTTGTATTGCTGGTATATTGTTGACAATTGTTGTTAAGTGAAATTTGTTGTAGCATTAAATTTTCATTTTATAGTTAATGCTTGCAAACACACAATTGTAAATGGTTTGAATCCGAGTCTGACCCCCTTGTCTCATTTTGACAGACCACACATAAAGATTTGTATAAAAACCTGGCCAATTTTAATCGGAATTCGCATATTTCTTAATATAGTAGGAATAAATCAAACTGCTGCTACATATAAAAGTAAAAGTTTTTATGCCCCCGCCGTAGCGGAGGGAGCATTGAGTTTTACCCTTGTCCGTCTGTACGTACGTACGTACGTACGTCCCAAAGTTGGTTTCCGTTCTCTGATTTTTATTTGCCTCAACCAAATGTTATGAAACTTACACAATGCTTATAACCAAAAAACACAGATCAAGTTTTAATTTTGGTGGTGTCACTTTAACCGTTCTAGAGTTATGTCCCTTTACAAATGGAAACATTCCTGAATTTTTCGTTTCCGTTCTCTAACTTTAGTTTGCCCCAACCAAGTGTTATGAAACTTATACACAATGATTATTATCACAAAATACAGATCAAGTTTGAATTTTGGTGGTGTCAATTTAACCGTTCTAGAGTTATGCCCCTTTACAAATGAAAAAATTGCTGAATTTTTCCTTTTACGTTCTCTAACTTAAGTTAACCTCAACCAAGTGTTATGAAACTTATACACAATGCTTACTATCACAAAATACAGATCAAGTTTGAATTTTGGTGTTGTCAATTTAACCGTTCTAGAGTTATGCCCCTTTACAAATGGAAAAATTGCTGAATTTTTCGTTTCCGTTCTCTAACCTAAGTTTGCCTCAACCAAATTTTATGAAACTTATACACAATACTAATTACCACAAAACTCAGATCAAATATAAATTTGGGTAGCGTCACTTTTACCGTTCTTCAGTTATGTCTCTTTATAACTTTATATGATATGCAAGCGGGGGCATCACCTTTGTCCCATGGACACATTCACCATTTATTTCGAAAGACCTTAAGAACTAGTAAATATAGCGAAAACAATCATAGGCTGAATTAACACTTATATCAACAACATATTACTGTTAATATAAAAACGTACAGACTTCTGTAATCTATTAAGTGTTCTTAAGATTTCTATTATAAATATTATGTAAGAATAGCGGCCGACGGATACCCAATCAATAAGTATTCAGAATGTCGAGGGTTAATTTGATAATTTTACTTTGCAGAATGAACAGACGAGTCAATACACATCTGATGGCCAACAAACCAGACTACACTCGTGAAATATGACTTAATTGAAAGGAATATCTAAGTTTTTCATCGATTTTTATGTCTGTGAAGTGTGTGTAATAACGGTTTGTCAGTAGGAATTACATAATGCCATTAGAACGATAACAATTTATCCCGAGGACAAACGAACTACAGCTTCTATCGAAAGTAGTATAGAGAAACACCATTCATTCTACAATATAAAAATAGAAGCTTTTAACCTTTGGTAGTAAATTTTTTTATCAAATTTCATTAAAAATGTCCATTTTATTATGTGTCCATAGAATGCAACGCTGTATTTAACTTTATAAAACAAAACAATGCCGATTAAACAGTAAAACACAGAATGGAAATGCCGACTACATGTCTTGTGATGCCCTGTTTTATCATCATCTTGTTCCAGTTATCTATACATAACAATGTAATATGTGGATAATAACTCGATAATAATCTTAATATATATATATTCCCCAAATTAATTAATATTAAACGAAATGCAAATTGAAACTGACAAACTGATCTAAATATGTCTAAATACACAAATTCATCTGTTCGTCAAAGTCAATTACCATACAGATTAAACAGTAAGAAACAAGTGCATTTAACAAATACCTTGACTTTTACTAATGAAAGTAGTACTCGTTTTATTAAATACAATGGAGCTCTCGCCACAATTCATGAAATTGAGGAAGATTTAACAAACGGAAGAAGTTTGGGCGATATCAACTTCAACAAAATTAAACAACAAAACGGTTTTTATGCAGAAGGAAATGAAAGATTTAACAAACACAAGAGGGTTAAAGGTGGAATTTTATTACATAGGAAGAAAGTTACTAGTCAAGACAATTGTTCGAGTGATGAAAAACATTCTTTTACCCAGTCTACCGAAATAATCCGACATAATATCAACAACAATATTAACAAACGCAATCAAAATATTGATAGGGATGATAATATATCACAGCTTAAGGACAGGGATTTTAAACTGAAAGAATCCGTACCGCATAGTGTGAATAAATTTGAGTGTACGGCATCCAAGAACAGCGACCAAAGAGAGATCCTTTGTGAAATATCAGATAATTCAGAAACAGAACAATCTACCATTGCCAAACATTCTAAACCAGTTGGTCAACTAAATTCGGAGAAAACGCTTAAATCAGAAACAAACAAATACAGAAAACTGAGCAAAGACAAAGCGGAAGATAATGTTCAAGAAGTTGGATTAACGACAAACATTCGCAGCTCAAAGATCAAGAAATATGCAAGTGCAATACCGAAGTTGAAAGGAAATGTAGCAAATACCGGTGGATTAAGAAAAGTAAGTAATTTCAGGAGTAATCAGTATACCTTCAACAATACTGATCTTTCTTCAAATAAACACCGTACAGCTACAACATCTCAACCCGAAAACAAAGTGAACAAACTTCGAGTACAGGAAACACCTACTACTACCAATGTTATCTCGAATAAGCAATGTCTACCTGTGCCCAAACATACAGGTAAGAAAAACGTTAGTAGGTTGGATATAGTTGATACAATCAGTAGAACAGACAAGACAATACCGTTTAATAAAGGAGATGTACAAAATCAACGAAGCGATGGTATAAACAAATACTGTCGTAATACACGTGTTAATGAACCGGTAACAATTAAAGGTAGATTAAGTAAGACTGGGAAGTCGAGGACAGCCCTAGTTACTTCTAAAGAGAACAGTGATTTTACAGAATCTTGCACTGATAACAAAGTAAGTCAAGTTTTGATTGATGGGAAACAAAATGATGTAAAAAGTGCTGGAAATCTCCAACAACTGAAAACTGAATTGGACATTCTATATGAGGACTTAAATGCCGACAAAAATAACCGAAATGAGATAGAAGATCCGACAAAAAATTCTGAAAGGTGTTCTAACGAAGGTAGGAAAAGTTTAAGCTTAAATTCAGAACAGGACACTTTAAGTGCAAATAACAAAAATAGCCGAAAGTCTCCTTTAAGTTGTCAATATAAATTTAATGACTTTACCTGTGTGGAATTCATATTAACTAACAATAAATCAACCACTGAGAAATATACATTAAATATTGAAAATGACAAAAATAAAAGTGTTACCTCCGAGGTCAAAAATAGCTTAAAACTAAAGATAAAAGACAGGAATGACATTTTAAAAACAAATGAAAAATGTGAGTCATCGATTAATCTCAAGGTAAATTCAACGGATGTGTCCTCGAACTTTATGAAATTTCAAAAAACGGGAAGTGATGGTATAATGGACATTGTTATGCCTCCAAAATGTGACAAAGGAAGAAAACACACATTCAGTAATGATAAAATTGAAAGAAAACTAACAGATGATGAGGTCAAAGAGACAGGAAATGTATTAAAAACTGCAAAAACTAGCGTAACTGCACACAGATTAAAATCAAATAGTGGAAAATCTGTAACAACACCACAGGTGAAAGTTAAATCATCAATTAAAGAAGACGATCAACGTAAACATGATTCAAAGAAAACATCAGCTGGTGATGTTCATAAAAACAAAATAGATAATGTTAAAAATAAAATTTTTGAAGAAAGGCAACTTCATAAAGATAAACTGTTATCAAAAAACAAAAAATTGTATACTACTGACGTTGGAAAATCTGACCAGTTAAAAAACAAACAAAAGGATAAGGAATCGTCGTCGAAAGGAGAGAAATCAAGAGGACAAGAAGAGGTGGTAATTAAAAAACACAATGATAGCAATGTATCAAGTAGTAAAGCAATAAACAAAGTTTGTCAAAGTAGCCCCAACAGACAAATAGTAGAAAGTGATAATAGACAATCAAGTGATAAAGAAATAACTCATGAAGTGGATGAGACTTGTAAAGCTGCCAAAGATAAATCAATTAATTGCTCTGGAGGTACTGAAACTTTCTCCAAAGATAAATATTCAAAAGATGTCAGTTCTAAATTGTTTCCAACATCGGATGCGCAAATCAAAGTAATTGAACAAACAAAACGTAAAGAAAGTGGTAGCACAAATTTACGCTGCAAGAACTACGTTAGGGAACAACCATCTGCCGATCGATTACATAATATCAGGAGTATTGGCAATAATAATTCAGGAGAAATTGATCAGTTAGCAGACGGACAGAACAATCCAAATGATCAGAAGGTGCAGCAAAATGCACCGAAACAGTTATCTTATTTATTAGATTTGAACATAAAATCTGAGAAAGACATTAGTTACGATCATGAAGAATCTTCTGCAAATATTGTTGTTTATAATCAATCAGAAGGTAACTGTCAGCAATATAAACTTGGAAACCTGTCATCTGCTGACAATGAAAAATGTAATGAAAGTTGTACAGGATTATATCAAAGTGAAAATATTGTAGGAACTACAGGTCAATGTGTAAATGACCATGACTGTGCAATATCATCATCAACCGTGGAGAGAAGTGTGCCAAAAGCGATTATTAATGATAATATGATGATGGGAAATGATTTACAATATATGACAAGTGTTCCAAACTCATGTCGAGGATTTAGTGAAAGTATCCAAAAAAACATTTTGGATTTAGGTACGAATGATTCTTGTAATCAGGATAATAATGATTCATTAACATTCATTAATAACGGATTAAGTAAATCAACTGAATCTACTGACAGAAATAATCGTGGTATCTCGTTACCATGTACGGTGTGTACGGAGAAAAACCTACATTGTGACTTTACGGACACCATACTGGGTAATAAAGTGTGTGTTAAAAACACCGACCAAATGGAAAATCAAAATGATTGTTTCTCCGACACTGGCAGTTCTTTAAGTGATCATGGAAAACAAACCGATAATAACAAAGTTAAAGATCAAACAAAAGTAAAAGGCGACAAACAAGTAAGAAGGAAAACAGAGAGAAAATTGCTATCTCCCAAAATTTCAACTAAGAAATTCAATTCAGAGATTCCGAATTTGGTAAATTCAGTAAAAGTGAAAACCCTGCCTAAAAGTGACAGGTCTGAAAAAGAAAAACTGAACCAAGAGAATGCTAAACGCAAAGAAAAAATACCACGGACAAGTACGCCTACTTCAAATAAATCAAAACCAAAATGCGATGGACATCGTTCATCATCTAAACAGAGTTCGATCCGTACTAACGACAAAAAGTATCCTAATAATTTTACTGGTGTTACAGCTGGTCTCACCCCTAACAAACCAATCGACATTATAAAGGAATGGAGTCCGTGTTCTGATGTTTCAAATGCATCATCTAGCGGATCTTACAAAGGTGTTAGGCCAAAAACTACATCGTTTATCAGAGGTAAGACTTACGAATCATCCGATAAATTAGTGAACACATTAACAAGTCAAAAACAAAAGAATACGTCTAATATTTCTAAAACACCCGTCGAATGTTGTCAATCAACGAGAAAATCAAATAGAAGTTTTTCTTCTCCCAAGATAACGAATTCAAAATATACACTGTCTGGTAAACAATTATCGACCAACAAAATAATCTCTGTTGGATGTCCGTCAGCCGCACAGAAAACAGCAGAAAATGTCAAAGACCGAGAAAAATCAATCAACTATCAAACACAATCCAATGTCAAAACTGTAAGAAAAAGTTCAACTCCTTCTCCAAATAGAAAACCTAAAGATAAAAATTTAACACTCAGCGAAGAATCTCTCAAAAGCCATATTCCAATAAAAGCTGACCAAGACAAGACAACTCCAATAACCATGCGACCAGATAGCCTTCCATTACATACTACTACCCAAAAAAATCTCCTTTCCTCAAAAGGAGATGCTTCGCATAAAAATACTTCAAAAGTAAATCGTGTCATATCACCAAACGAAATGAAGATAAATGCAAAACACAAGACACAGCGTCATTCGCCAAGTCCTACGATATCTCTTAGTTCAAGAGCTAGTAGTATTGCATCATTATCTGACCGAAAGGCAACTCAAAGACGACCAGTTAGTTGTAAAACCACGTATAAATCACAAAATTCTAATATTCCACAGACAACCAACAGACATCCATCAGAATCCTCGTCAGGTAAAATTAACAAGATTCCAATAGCGTCTCGCCCGAAAAAAATCCAGGCTAGTCAGATGAAAGATCTGAAGACACCGTGCTCGTCGAAAAGTTGTACACCAAGTCCTACCTTGTCGAGGAGCTCCAGGTCATCAAGCGTCGTATCTCCTTGTACAATAAAGAATCAAAATTTGAAAATTAAACAAGAAATAACTAAGAAGAAACTTAACATTTCAAATTCACGAAAACCTGAGTTATTACAAATAAACAAAGTACCAATTCGTAGGTCCAGTTTATCAAGTATCAAAACTGTCAAGGTTGCGAGGACACCAGATGATGATAAAATCGGAAAGCAAATGACAACAGAATCAAAAATACAGAGAACATCAAAACTTCCAAAGTCAAAATTAACACAACAAACTTCCGTCGATTGTAAAAAGCATCGACCACAAACAACTAGTACAAAACATATTAATGAAAGTACATTTAACAAGGATAAAGAGGAACACAAAACAAATGTTAAGAAAGCTGAAGACCTATTAAAACAGACTGACAAAAAGTCACACGAAGAGGAACATCCCATTTGTAATAAGACTTCTGATATCAATGCAGAAACATCAAACACAGTTTGTCTGTCTGATAAACCTGATCATGTTCCTATAACAGATCAAATCAAAGAAGAGCCGTTTGATTTTTGTGAAGCACAAAATTCAAATATTGTAACAAACCAACAACTTCAAAAACAGGTGCAAGATCCATTAATGGAGATTAGATCTATATCAAATAGTAAGACTATTACTCCCATGGAATTTCAACAGAAACCCGAAGTTCACTCAAGTGTCGAATCTGTGTGTAGTGAACAATACTGGTCCGCAAGTGAAGGAGAAAACGAACATGACAACTTACAATTAAAAGACAGAGTCGTTCCTATGATTCTAACTAACGAAACAATGGATAGCAACAAAAACAAAGAGATTTTATGCGACCAGCACAATGATGCAGCGTATAGTGTTGCAGACGATGAGTGTGAAAAATCTCACGTGCAGTTGTCAGACAATTGTGCATTGAATACTTTGCCTTTAGAATCTAAAACCGATTTGTTACATAATTATATTGACAGAACATGCACGACAGAAAATGATTTAGAAAATTCAACTGATTTAATGATAGAAAATATTAGTCAGCACTGGAAATATGATCATGATACGTCAGAACGGCTTATAAACACTTTTTTGCCAGTTGATTCGGAAGATTTTGATAAGGCTCAATATGTGTCTAAAGATTATGAAGAGAATATCTCCCAACATTCAAATTTAGAACAACATCTCAATGCAGGAAACGATAAATTGAGCGTAGAAATAAATGAAGTTAATCGATGTAAATTTGAATCTAAGTACAACATTGATATAGCGGAAAACGCTGTCAAAGAAGTATATGTCAAAACTGAAAAATTATCAGAGCCAAACATTATGGAGCACCTGATAAACAAAAACTCATCTAAATCAGAACATTTACCAGAGGAAGCTGTTGTTATATACTCTGAACAACAATCAGAACAGCAATGCGAAGAAGAATGCAAATGGGAAATAAGTTCAAAAGGGCATCTTTATTTGGAAAGCAACAGCATTGAAGAGGACTTTGCATCAACATACCATTCAGAGGGATATTTTAATAATGGATTATATTTAGAGTCAAGCAAGGGCGACTTCAACACGTTTGATAAAACGGAAACGTATGAAGTGAGAACTCCATCAATACAAGGAAATAGTCAATTTGAAACAAAAACAATTAATCAAAATGAGGAAGTTTCAAGAGTACGAGATGAGCTAATTTGTGAAAATATCAATCTTCTAAAAAAGGATTATATAAAAGAGTATGACTGTCCAGAAAACAAGATTTATGACAGGACTATAACAACATTTGAAAATGTACAGTTGTATTGTAATCCAACTTTAGACGAATCTGTTTTATCAAACAACGTCCGTTCAAAGGAAGATTTAACTTTAAAAGATGAAATTTACAGTGATAAGAGTTTTATCGATTCAACGACTGAACTGAACGAAACAGAATCTGAGCATAGTGACAGCAGCATGGCAAGTAGTAGCGTACAAAACTCTCCGGGTACCCGACGACCACGCCGTCAGTTTAGCAGGGCAGAACGTAAACAAAAGTACGAACAATTGTCACTTAAAAGTCAACAAAATAGCACTGTTTCCTCTTCCACGAAGAATTCAAGACTTGATGACTGTTCACATTATTCAAAAGGGGAAGTGCCGGTTCTACACACCAATGAAATCTATCAGACATCTTCATCACACAAATCTGAAACTTTTGATAGTGCAGGTAGAAATATATCTGGTACATGTTATAGCGAAAGTTTAAATTCAAAAAGCAGATGCACAGAAAGTTCACTGATTAATAAAAGTACGGTTCGTCTCAAATATCACACGGATGAAAGCACTAATAAACATGTCGAAGAAAAACTAAACGAAGAGGCAACTTTTACAAAAATAATAACTTACGAACATGATACAACATTATCTCATTCACAAAGCCAAGATTCTGAGTTAATTTTAGTAGATAAAACAGCATTATCAAGTGTTAAACGCTCTGAGGATTCTGAAGCGGATGCCTCACAAGGTGTCGTGAAAAGGACTTTACCGGTTTCCAACACGACAGAAAACAGACGTGCCATAAATTTGGACAAACTTTTTCGTTCCGAGGAAGGATTTTCTATATCTGTGGAATGCACTTTGCAACTGAGTGAACAGGTACCTAAAATAAGTAAAACAGAATGTGTTCATGGAAAATCAGATGTGCATGTTTCATCAGTTGACGTTGAGGAAACCGTTCAGTTGTGTCTTCGTGACGACGAGTCCTTGTCAGGAAATGAAACTGGTGTTAGCTTGGAAACTCTTAAAACTGTAAGTAATGAGCATGTTTTTGATATTGGTCAGGTGATAAACTCTTCACCTGATACAAAATATTATCAAGATAAGTTCATGCCATCAGATACGAGTATGCAAGATAAGAACATTTTCGTAGATGCTAATTATGAATGCACACCAAGTACATCGAATTTCAATATGAATATTTCTGATAAAATCCAAAAGGAAGTTGGCACAAGTTTTTCTGATGATATCACATCAAATGAAATAAAAGAGACAGAATATGATATCGAGCAGAAGTCGTCAAATTTCAATAAATGTGAACCTCAATTAGAAAGTAATTTGGTACTAGATAACAGTAACATCTTGCATTCCTCTGATACCGAACATCTGAAACATGAACAAAAAATTTCAAATTCTCCATTTGCAGAAATGCATGAAAAATTTGTGATATGCGTTGCAAACAATGCCATCCCTTGTATTGAAAATGATAAGTCATCAAAAACGTGTTCTGATGAAGCAAGTGAAAACCATGTTGAAAACAATGTAAGTCAAGCTGATAGGAAACACATGACTTTGGATTTGCCCACAAATGAGAAACATAATAGTGAAATGGGTCTGACAGCTAATGTTAAAGTACAAAAGAGTAGAGACAGGAAAAATATAAGGCGCCTTACCGATACAATACTTTTTGATGGACATAATGAAAAGAATAATGCTACATCTACACCAAAGATCAAGCAAAGAGCAAGAAGCAAGAGTCCTGTAGGATGTTCTCATTCACGAGACATGGACAGTGACCAGGTACACAGTCATTCTGGACATGGGAAAGTTTCAGAGATATGCAGTAAATTCATTCAGAAAACAACACCTGGAATTATTTCTGTTTCGCCATCTGACCCTGGACTGGCCTGTCATTTGAAAGCTGTTTCACCATCACGACATATGAAATGGGCACGTGTCGAGGGTGTATGGCAAAGGGTTCCTGTTGATGATTCCTTTTCTCCCTCATCTGACGTAATACCGAGGGAAGTTCAAAATAAGGCATCAAAACCAAATAGGAAATCGAATGAAACTTTGTTTCAATGGAAAAATTTATATGACAAAATTCAGAAGGTTCAACAAGAAAAACGTGACCTGGAAGACGAAAATACTATTGAATCACATGATGATATTCATAGCCTGATTAATAACATCGATAAAACAGAGAGTAGAGACACCGAAATTGACTCAAAGATATCAAAAACCTCGAAGTCAAAGCCCAAACCACCAAAAACACTGCCAAAACCAAAACGTCATACCAAATCTGACCATACAACAGGAGCCAAAGTTTTGTCCATCATACATCCAAAAGGTGATAATGAGTTGAACAATGTTTCATCAGATGGGGATAACGAGCTAACAATAATGCACAAAAACGAAGATGGCACTAGAAATAAAAGTAAACAGGTGCAGAAAAGTGTCGAAGATAATAAAGAAAGAGAGGAAACAATATGCATCCAGTTAATCTCTTCAGAAAAAGAACACGAAAAACACATAAGAGAAGAAACGTTCAAATCGACCGCTACCATGAGTAAAATCACAATAGATGAGAGGATTGTTGAATGTATATCTTTCAAAAAATTGGATGGCGACAAAATCATTGAAATCACTAAAGAAAATGAGAAGAATGGAATTATGCAAATTGATAGCCCTGAGGCTGACATGGTGGGAATAAAAGAGTCATTATCAGCATGTAAAACACAAGATAGGGAACGTCCATTAGAAAATAAATATGCAGAAGAGAAAGTAAAAGTCCAACATATGTCAAACGAGAAAGACCAACCTGTTCTTATTAAAAGTAAGTTGAAACATGGTCCTGATACAAGGAAAACAGCATCGGGATGTGCAGAAAATTTTAATGTTTTTGATGGTATACCATCATTTAGTATTGACAATGATGGTCAAATGAAGCAAAAAACGGTACCCATCAAGCAAGAAATGTTTCCGAAGGAAGAAGATATTTCCTCGGATTTTATAGCTAAAGTGCTCAGAGTGATGGATTCATTTACAACCGATAATGATCAAAGTTCTGGTGTTCAATTCGTTGTTGGGAATGAAGATTCTAAAAGTGATTTACATAGGGATTATAGGAATACAAATGTTCCCCATCATGACAACGACAGATCAGAGACTGGGCTTTTCATGTATGGACAGAGACAACCTAAGGTAGGAACAAGTAAAAATAGTAACATGTCACTTAAAATCCTTTTAAGACATCAATGGCAGTCTCTGGTGGAGAGTTGTCTCATTAGCAGTCATACAAAATCTTCTTATTTTTATTTTAAATTCCTGATTACATATATGCAGTCTTATTTGCACACTATGGTTTGGGCTTCAAAGCCACATTATCAAATCCAAAGAATATAATGTTTCTCCAAATTGTTAAATAGATTGATTATGAATTCATAATTACTTATCAAAGAACCCAATGGACTTTTTGATGACGAATAATAATTCTTCTAGATGGTAGAATGTACCGTTAAATGTCATTTTGTGCAAATCAATTATTTGATGATGTTTTTGTGGAGTTGCCATTTTCATATTAATATTGATTTTTGAAAACTTTAGATAGCCATATTCCAAATGTTACACTCTGTTCTGGGGAATGTATGGCATTTTCGGTGCTGGTATGTGTGTATGTATTGAAACCAAATGCCAATGAGCGTGAATAATACCATTGAATGTTCATTTGATATTCACTTTGGGAAGAAATTGAAATGCTTTGTTACTTAGTTTTTAAGATCAATATCGGACAATGCACAAAGAAAGGCAGAATATTTAATTCACTAACTTCATCCTATTAACAATTCAATAACAATTTTCTGGTGAAAATTTTATCACTCTACAAACAAGTCTGATTGAAAACATTAATATACAGCTGCAAATTAGATTTTCCTTTCAAAGAAATAATTTACACTTTGTTATTAATAAAACTCATCATCATGTTCAAATGTTATAGATATGACATATACTTATAAATAATAATTTTGACTCGTCTCAAGTGAAATGGGAGTCCAAATGTCTTGCCCTGAAACAGGTCAAATCACTTTGCAAAAATGTACATAACTGATCTACTGTGACAGTCGATCATATCCAATTTACACATTGTTTTTCTTACGATTTACACAATGAACTGGCCTGCATGTATGTAATATTTGCCACATGACGTTATCAAAAACAACAATGAATTAATAGAATTTTAATTGGACAATTAACAGATTTAAATACTATTTTATTTACAAAATTAGATAATTACACCAATAAGAATCATACAAAACAGCATCTTTCATCATGCAGAAAAACTCATCTTCACCGGTCTTGTCTCAGACGGTGTTAATTAACTGCCAGTAAGTAACAACAAACTGTTTCAACATTCTTGATTGATCACTTATCAAACTTTGGTTTATTCTTGGCTCTTCAGGATATAAAACTGATATACTAATGAGAGTAATTAAAACATTATATTCATATTGGTTTTTTTTTTTGGGTTACAGAAACTAATTACAAAAAATATTGAAATAAAGCTATAGTGATGTTACTCCATATACACATTGAAAACTTATTTAAAAATATCTTTGTTCTTGGACTAACAATCTAAAGGTATCCTTTACTGAACATCTCATTTTGTTGAACATTTCTAATGTCTGGGAATTTTATAGCAAATTATAGAGTATTGGGTTTTCTCATTGTTGAAGGCTGTATGGTGAAACATAATAACTTATATCCACATCATTTGAACTCTGGTACAAAATTGACAAATCATAACACATCTCCTTATTTTGATATTAAAAATGTTTATATCTGCCACTTCATTAAAGGTTTTTAAATAAATAAATTATCCAAATCAATTGACTGGACAAGGAATAGGATATATATCTTAAAACTTAAATGGTAAAAAGAGTCTGAATTTGAGAAAGCTTCATAATTTTGTATTTAATTATTGTTTAATAAATCATTTTACATTATAAAACTGTTGATCAGAGAAAAATTAAAATTACCATCAAGAAACCATCAGTTTTGTTAATTTTGCTCTTTTTATTAAACTCCTTAAAAATAATAGCAAAAACCTTCTTTAAAATTGACATGAGCTTGTATTTCACATTCATTAATGTCCATGCCAAAGTTAAAGGCTTAAATCAACCAATTTATTATTTAAAAGCAGTTTTAGTCTCATCTTGTCTGAAAGATGGACAACAATGCAAACAGGCAGCAAAACAAAGTAATGACTGTATGCTTCAACAAATTTATCATACAGTTTTAATCTGACAAGTTAATTAATATAAAAAATGACAATAGCATATCTTTCGAACTCTTATCTTCTGAAATAGGAACAAAATTAAAAATAGTATAATAAAAAACATGAAAACACCTAAGCAAAATCAATCATATACAATATGTCTTGATAAATATAATGTAAAACCAAGAGATTAACTTTAACATATATTTTATTACAAAACATCTTTGGAAGCTATTCAAATCCTAAAAATTTTCAAGATTAACAAAATACAGCTGATAAAGTCATTAGATTCTACATCTATAAATCCAGTGGGCATAGTAGTGGATAAATGCTAGAGTACTTATTGATGTTGAAAATGTATACTTTACTGCTACATGTAACATAATACCTGAATGTTCCTGTCATATAACTCCAATATGAAGATTCTTCTTACCCAATGATTAAGGTTACAGTTATACTGTTCTTATTCAAAATGGTGTCTAGTATCTTTAGTAATGAACATCAACTTGCTAATTTATAGTTTGAAGCAAGTCTAAATGTTTCTTTTGTTTTTACTGCATTGAAATTCTGTACAATTTGGCCTTTGCATAGCACAGCCTCTTTTTTTAGAGAATAAGACATCATGATTTTATATCAGCAAGTTAAGTTCTTTAAGCTTGGTTTCAGAAACTGCAAGCATTTAGTAAATATCTTATTTTGAACTAATAGAGTAAAGTGCTTTTCCTTCCTATATTACTGTAAATTCAGAAATTATTGCGGGCATTTATTATTGCGATTTTTCAAAAATGGGCAAGAACGCGAGTTTAATTAGTGCGATTTCAGAACAATCTACGTTTAGATCAACGTTTTATTTATCAAAATGCGAGTTCTTATTATTGCGATACTCACCGAGTCGCATTATTCGCATTAATAAAAACCTCGCAATAATTTCTGAATTTACAGTAATTCTCATTATATGTTATTTCATATACTCTTTGTTAGTCTACTGATATACATTATAAAGGGAGGGTTAATCTCTAAAAAAAATTACAGTTTAACTCTGCCACATGTGGATGTGCATCTCCCAAATGAGAAACCTTGCAAGTGATTCTCTTTTATTATATATCTCATTCTTCGGATTTCATTGTTGATGGAAGATCTTAGTCTATTTTTTTTTGTGTGTTGTATTGCTGTTTTATTGAGGCAAACCAAAAGATCTGTTTATATATAAATCTTCCTTGACTTCAGATAAATTGCAGAAGTAAAACAGTTTTTTAGAATTCATTCATCAACCTGTATTATTACCAAACTTCAAGGATGAAAAACACACCAAGATTTTAGTTGTGATAATTGTGCAGGTGCATGCATATAGCAATGAATAACTGCTAAAAAATGCCTTCTAAATGCAAAATATTTTCCTCAGTCCCCAACAAATCAGTAAAGGTATCAGTAAATTCTCATCTGGAGGTCCTATGAGACTAGATAAGAACATTCCTATGCAAGGAACTCAAACATAGGGGTGGGGGGGGGGGGGGGGGGGGGGTGGGGGGGTTGGTGTTGCTATGGAATTGAATATTCTGGCAACCTGGTATTAACTGGAAAATAATAACTTAGCCTAAGACAGGATAAAAAGGAATATTTGAAAATTCTGACTATTTAAAGGAAATGTTTCTATTTTCCACATTATCGTAATCCTCAAGATGTCAGATTCAAACTCTGGTTTATGTTTAGCAGTATTTAATGTTGTGTAAAAATTCAAAGGATTCTGTTGAAAAATGCACAGGTTTAATCATCATTTTTTCTAAATCTTTGATGTCTGAAGATATTAGGTGTGAGTCACTATTATGATACCTTTGTGGCATGTTAGCAAAATGAAATGGCAAAAGGTTCTTATTGTCTTGAAGGGCTGATATTTTACAATATCTTTATGCTGATAAACTGACAATCTATATAATGTAAAGATTTTAATGTTGTCTTAATCTAAGGCATATTGTTTCCAAGTTTTTAAAGCAAGATTTATTTATTGTTGCTTGCTTCACATCCAGTAGCTTGTAACTGTGGAAAGAATGACACATTTTTGAAAGTGTCATAATTGTTAAATTTTAGCAGTTTTATTTTCATTGATCAGGTCTTCCTGGGATTTATTAAATATAGAAATTATAAATTGTTATTTTTAGTGAGGGTACTGTGTTTTCAATATCTATTAAGTTGTTCTACTAATAGTAAACATGAGAAAAAAAGTGTATTGCATCTTCAAATCTTCTTGGTCATAAATACTAACATCCATTTTTAAAGCATAATTAGTTATCAAAGGTACCAGGATTATAATTTAATATGCCAGACGCGCGTTTCGTCTACATAAGACTCATCAGTGATGCTCAGATCAAAATAGTTATAAAGCCAAACAAGTAAAAAGTTGAAGAGCATTGAGGACCCAAAATTCAAAAAAGTTGTGCCAAATACAGCTAAGGTAATCTATGCCTGGGATAAGAAAATCCTTAGTTTTTCGAAAAGTTCAAAGTTTTGTAAACAGGAAATTTATAAAAAATGACCATATAATTGATATTCATGTCAACACCGAAGTGCTGACTGCTGGGCTGGTGATACCTTCGGGGATGAAATGTCCACCAGCAGTGGCATCGACCCAGTGGTGTAAATAGTTATCAAAGGTACCAGGATTATAATTTAATACGCCAGACACGCATTTCGTCTACATAAGACTCATCAGTGACGCTCAGATCAAAATAATTATAAAGCCAAACAAGTAAAAAGTTGAATAGCATTGAGGACCCAAAATTCCAAAAAGTTGTGCCAAATACGGCTAAGGTAATCTATGCCTGGGATAAGAAAATCCTAATTTTTTCGAAAAATTCAAAGTTTTGTAAACAGGAAATTTATAAAAAATGACCATATAAAGTGTGCACATTTGCATATGTTTTTTCACTCTAATATTGTTGTTTGTTTTCTTTTTTTTTTTGCTTCATTACAAAAATGCAACTTGCCAAGCTGTTGTTTTTAAAATTCTAAAAGTTACATCATATTATTTATCAAATACAAAACATCTCAAATCAAATGAAGCCTAAAAATTAATTTTAACTGTTCACCAAAAAAATATCACTTTCTAAATAAATTTGACAGACTAGCAGCTATATGTGTGTTGGTTTTTATCATGGTTCACCAAATTGAAATGCAGATTTATGTTTGTCTATTTTAGGTTTGCTGTTATCTGTCCTTTTTGTTTATAATTCTTGTTCATTTGATATCATCTAATTCTGTCTTTTTATTTGAGATGATTTCTGATTAATTTTCTCCTTTATGTTTATTATTGGGAATATTGATATAAATATAGAACTGTTGTTGTTGTTTGACTATTTTTATCAAATTTAGCCTTCAAAAGTTGGTGTTTTTTTTTAAATATGATGGGCTCGTATGTTTTTTTGGGTTTTGTGTTCTTTAAGGGATTTTGTGTCGAACATGTGCTGAATAGGACTAATCCCTTTTATATATGATCCTTATGACTTGTTTTAAGAAAAGGTTTATGCAACACAGTTGTTTTTAATAACCTTGATATTTTGTTCATAAGATCTTACTTTTGACAGCCTTAATACATTAATACACTGTCTCCCCAATAATACATTCACATAATTAAATCTGTTACCAGTGTATATACTTTCTAACTCCTATCAATATGCAATTATACATGTAAGTGATTTGATGATTCAACAGCTAATAATATGTATTTTACTATATCTACTAGAATGATTCATGAAGAGAGCCTTGGCATTGACAGAGGGGGTAAACAAACAATGAAGGGATATGTTAATATACATTCCTACATCTCATTCTGTCAATACATCTTACATATTAATATCATGTACCCTTGCATAGATTGATGTAAGATATCAAAAGATAACTTCTTATATGTACCATACATGTGCTTCTTCTGTTTATATCAAATATTATCATACATATAAATACTTCCATGGGTTGATAAATACTTTGTAATAGGGGTAGGGTGTGGTTTCTGCAATTCAACTTGCTGAAGAAAAGTTGGCATTTCAACTAATGTTTGAAATTTTAAGCGATCTGTTAAAGTACATGTATTAGCTTAGATATGGGAGGAGGGTTAAAACGACCAGATGTCACTATCACCACTTCATCTATTTCCATAATAGTTTCTATAATGCTCTTACCAACTTTATTTTTTACCCCCCCCCCCCCCCCCCCCCCCCCAAAAAAAATAATAAAAAAATTTCAGAAACTTTGTTTTCAAAAAAAACTTCTGAAACACATTTATGAGCCATTCTGATAACATAATTAACAGTTTGAAAGCTGACTAAAGAAACCACCTTAATATATTCAAACATAATCAGGGTAATGTGACTAATCATACCTTGTCCCTTGAAAATTAATGCCTTTATTAAATAACTAATAGTAAATATATATGCTACAAAGAATTTTAATTAATTTACACACTTTCATAGTTACATATACAGCTGGATCTGACAATATCAAACTATTTATAACATTATGGATTGCTATATAATCACATAGGTCATACAATACATGATAACATAAACCTCTTGAGATTGATTTGATCCAGTCTGTGAATATATTTGGTCTTCAATGGCACCATATACAATAACTAATGACTGACATAAACTTTTGTTTTCATAGAGAGCCTGTGGAGGGAAATAAAAAAAGTTTTGGATATTTTTTTTTTTTAGATAAATTATTCTGACACAAGAGAAATACAATTAAGACAATTATGAATATTAGTTCTGACAAGAAATAATTATATGATTCTACAAGAGTACATTGATTATCAAGCCAACAAGTGCTGCATTTTGCAGTTTTTTTCTTTGTTAATTATATTCATTGGCATACTTATTGCAGAAAATTCTTAGAAACAAAAACTAAAAATCTAAAGTTATTCATTTTTATAAGATTTTTAAAACCATAAAGGTGCATCTAGAATTTGAAGGCATGAAAAACTGCATGTATTTGACCAATGAAATGGTATGAAGTGTTTCATTTTAAAAGTCTTTTCTTTTAAAATTATATTCATTTGCATGTCAATTGCAAACATTTCTTAGAAACATAAACTAATTATTCAAGGTCATTTTTTTTGTATCAACTTTAAAACCATACGTGTTTATTTAGAATTTTAAGACATGAAAAGCTGGGTATATTGGACCAATATAACTGTCAACAAATAAAATCTTATAGAGATGTGGTGAATTCTAAATACCAAAAAAAGCTATCGTGGCTTAATTTAACACACTTCATATCCTGGTACTGATTTATTTCTAAGGGTACATCAGGTTTGCTGTTAGGTTGAAATGGCTTTTGCAATTTTTTTTACTATTTTGCATTTCTGTATCAATCTCTGTAAATGCTTTCCATTTTGAATGAATCTTGCAATACTCAAAATTCAATGAAATTCTTTTCACTGAACACAAGTTTCCTTCCATTGTGAGAGAGTTGTTGCTCTCCATGTTAAAATTCACAGTTTTTATATGAATTTAGGTAACAGAAAAAAAAATCAAACAAATGATAAACAAGAATCTGTGTCAATAGGACACTATATCCTGCTTGCACTTTCTTTTTCAATGAACTGTGAAATCAGAGACAAAGTCCTAATTTGGCATATAATTTTAAACATTACATCATAATGAACTTGTGTACCAAGTTTCAAAGTGATGTGACCACAACTTCACGGTAAACCCCCTTGACCAAAAAATTAACATGAAATGGGACTAATGGATGGAATGAATAATGGTTGGATGGGACAGCAGATGCACAAACCAAAAAACATCCCCCTTATATCATAGACAAGGCATGAAAATTAGCTAATAACAAAAATCATATGAATTTTGAAATCTGAGTGTCTAGGACCTTGGAGCATGAATAAACTTTAGAAAATATAAAATATTGAAAACTGCTGTTTCAACTGTATGAAAATATCTATACAAATGGGAGATAACTCTTTCAAACCTTACTGGATAAAAAGTGAGAATTGATCAACTAATAAGGATACTCAAGGTTTTAGATTTGATTTAAATCTGGCTTTGTGTGTGTTATAATTATGCATTTGGTAAAGCATTTTTGCTTGAAGTGCTTTACATCTTAAATCTACTTGCAAAGTAATCAATTTTGTTTGGCTGAATGAAAGCTTGTTCTTTAAGGGAATGCATATATCTAGTATCTAGCTGAGAGGGGAATTTGTTGCTCAGACTTATCTTTTGATAAAATCTTCACTAAGATGATCTATGTAGACTGATAACAGACTTTGTATAGATTTACAGCTATACAAACATTACATTCTCATATTTTACCAGATGGGGTGGAAACAGGGTTACATACTAGAATGTTAAAGATTGGGTGCAAGTAAAGTTCTGAAGAGGATTTAAAAGTAGCTTATGTAATGGTGCAAAATGAGCTCACTGCCTTCATTCATACTATTTTGTAAATAATTATTTTCAAGCTATTTCCCCAGAGCAATAACAGTGAATCATTTCAAAAATTTGATGGATTTTGCTGTACATAAGAAAAATTTCATTATTTCTAGCTTTTTATGCCATGCAATTATGGGAATTGCAGTTTTCTGGAAATTTTGGAACATTTCCAATTGAAGTCATGTGATTTCATTAATGACATACAAATAATAAAACAGGCAATTTCAATACAGTGTTCAGAACTTTTCGAAAAAAAATGGTATAAATTTAGCAACCTCTGTTCATAGTAATACTATAACATATTAATATTTTTTTACTTGTTTTCTGTATAATATTTGTATTTATATTGGTTCACCTAGTTTCCTTGTGTCTTGTGTCTTGTATTTTTTGGTATTTCTATTGATTCACCTATTCAATTTTTCAAACATGATTTCAATGTCTTGTTATGTTTTCTTTACTGTATTTGAATCTGAAGACAAAACTTTGGGTATTATGTTTTTCAGTACTTTTTCATAATATTAGTGTTCTATGAAATTGAAGATGAGCCGTTTCATTTATGGAATATAATTAATGTATTTGTTTTGCAAGTCCTTTGTAGAATTCTTTGGTCAAGAATAATTAACACAATTTTTTTTTTTAGAAGAGAGATAAGCTTTACTCATTAATGTAACCATCAAGAGGTTGAATATCTAAGGAAATAAAAAACCAACAGGGTAACATCATGACAATTAATCCTGTTAGAATCCCCATCACTATAAATTTTACTTCAAAGTTTTATCAACAGATTAAGTGCTGGCACTTCACTAAAGTTTATATATAATAAATAATATGAATACATGTTGTACCACTCCAACATAAGTACCCACTACACAATTTCATGTTGAATATTTGTGATAAAATAAATACAGTATTATTCAAAAAATCAAAACATAAAAAGAATTCAAAGAAGAATGTTTATACATACTAATATCTTGGAATTTCCTGATAAGTTCTAATTATAAACTTGAAAAAGCACAACAGAAAATTGCATTCACACCAGTTGGGTTCCTGATTAAAATGTATTCACACCCAGCAACCCAATGACAAAAATAACCTAATCTAAAGGGCATTATACAGTCTTCAACAAAACACTGTCTACACAATATGTCAACTTCTAAAATGTCCCCAGAATTTTAAAGCAGTGGTGGATCCAAAAGGGTGGAGGGGTGGGGGATAGGGGGGACGTAGAGGGCACTCTTCAAAAAATCCTGGATCCTACCTACCCTGAAAAATTAATATTATGAATAAATTAAACAGAAACAATCAAAGATCTGATATCTGATTGTCAACCTTTCAGACTTCTTAAAATTTTGCCAGTCACTGGCATTCAAAAGTGTAAGATATTGTATGGGGCACAAAAAAACATAAAAAATAATGCTAAAAATTACTTTTAAACAACTATTTTTATTAAGAATGTAGGAAAGTAGATCAAAATGTAACAAATAGTTCCATAAAAACTGTATCACATTCCCTAGTCCATTTTTGTGTATTCCCCAGCAAGTACTACTTATATTTCACCATTACAGTCAAATGGACAACGTATAGAAGGACATTGTCCTTCATGTGCACACACTTCATGAAACTTGCCATGCCCTTGGACATGTCCTGTAAAATAATATTTATATCAAGTACTTTTTCCTGTACTAATGATCTAAATGTACGAAATGACAATATTCTATTTACAATTTTTTTTGTTCAGTAAAGTGTATTTTGTTAATGTTTCACATTTATTTTAGGGGACAATAATATTAAAGGTTGTACAAAAATCTTCTGATTTATATTGATCTTTGATGCAACAAAGCCAAAATCATAGGATATATGATGGTTTTTTTTTTATATTGATCTGCATATATTACCATTCAATCTGAATAAATTATTGGGTGCACTGTAATAATATTTCAGGACTTGTTATTTTAAAATAGTTTTGTTGAGGACCATATAATGACCTCAGTCAACTCATTGGGTTGCAGTCTTTTAAGCTTTTATCCTAAATAGTCTTTTACTCATACAACAGTTAGTTGGCAAAGATTCTTTTAAAATTAGGAAGATGTGGTATGATTGCCAATGAGACAAATATCTATAGAAAACTAAAGGACACAGATGTAAATAATTCCAGGTCGATGCTATTTGTCTGGCAATCTGGTTTTATCCAATAAATTTTATGTAACTGGTTGCAGCACTTTCACTTCTTCTAAAGTATATGGAAATATTAAAGATGAGGTTACACTTAATTGCACCTCAGCTGTTTCAAAGTCATAATCCCTTTTGATGTTAAGACATGACTAATTTGAGTTCAGATAACAAAAGAATTTACATGTATTAAAGACATTGTCATGACTGGACACTCAAATCAATAATAAATTCAATTTTTAATATTACTTTGGAACAGCTGAGGGACAATTGAATGTATTAAAGTTAACCAAAAACTCAAATCATAGGTTCTGAAAGATTTAGGACAAGAAAAATTTACAGATATTCTGTAAGAATACTTCTAATACACTGTTCAGATAGTGCATACATAAGTTATTTTAAATGAACATTGAACAACCATTTTAATTTTGCTTGAAATTCCTTGTTAGATAATGTCTGAAATAAATCTGATAAAGACTGAGGGTGGAAATGAAATATTACCCAGGAAAAAAGAGTCTTATTTCTTTAATACCTTACTTTCAATTTAGTTAATGCTGATGTTAGCATAAAACTTGCTTAATTATCAATTTCGTAAATTTATTACATCTTTACAGATCTATTTATAATAAAAAATTGAAAGGGATTAGTCAGTCTAGTGATACCAAGACACAAGATTGAAGGCGTGATAATTCAAGCCATCTAAAAAAAGGCCCATATGTTTTGATATTGTGCAATATTAAATCTTAACACCTGGTAATGTTTTTATAATGTAAGAATGTAATAAAATAGGGAATATTTGTTGAAAATAAATCAGGTTTATACTGGAATCCTTTTATCATATCTAAATATCAAAATAATGAGATATTTCCACCTTTGTTAGAGATGATCAGACTTTAATTACCTTCCATAATTACATCTTTGTAGACATTATATGAAAATTATCCACTCTCAACAAGTTCATCTTGGTGGGTCTTTAACTGACAGGTCTTCAGTTTCAGGTAACTCTGATAAAAGATTAACAGATACTTTGAGTGACAGGTCACAAAGTAAATCTAGTTCTTCCTGTATTTTGTGCAAAATCACCAGTCTGGTATTCATTGAGTTGAATAGATCTTGTGGCTATGTCTCCCTGAACATAAAGTCTTTACACTTCTTTCTATGTTCTATTGTGATTTTAAAGTACACACAAACTTCACACCTCTGTTTATGAAATTAGTAACTTGATGGGCTCTTTATGTCCAGCAGCTAATATTTCATGTGTGTCTGGATGATGACATGTTAGTTTCATATGACTAGAACATGCTTTGTACTTTTTAACAACAAGCTGAATGTTTTTGTGAGCAAACTCACAAGGTAACAGTTTGTAGGCTGAAATGTTAGCCTACCAAGACGTATTTTTCTTGTACCAAGCCATTTATCATCTATTCCTCAGTACTACTTTCTTAGAGCTGAATCAGAAACATAGATGCCTATAAATCCATAGTATCTATGGGTATTACGTCTATGATCTGAAGTATGCTACCATGAGATCAAACTGGGGGTTCAGTCATATGTGGAATTCTCATTAGTTGTCTATAAGCATTATCCATAGCAAACTTTTCAGATATAATAAATTTATTTTTCATTTGAATGCCCTTCTGATGTTCTTTTTTCTGACCCCAAAGTAAAAGTACAAAATAGGTACCCTTGTAATTAGTGGTGAGTTATGCGTTGGTCATTTTTCTGTGTGTAAGGCATACATCACTTTGATCTTTGCCTCTGAAGTTGATGACCATGACAGATGGTAATGTTTATAATACAAGCTCATTATGATAGATATATACAGGATAGTTGATATGTAAACACAAAACCTCCCACAACTTGAGCAGACCTTATCTTAAACAAATTATAGTCTTTGATGTCAAAAATTTTCTACATAAGGCTGTTAAATTATCAAGTAAAAATGTACCTGTACTTCAATTTTATACAAACTTTCATCGAAATAGAATATTGTTTTGTGTCAAGAAGAAAAGGAATCGATAGGTCAATAACAGGACATATATTTTCTAGTATTAAGCAGTGTCTGATCACATTTGCCAAACATGTTTTCAAGGCTGGGAAGGCAAAGGGGCAAAATAAAAAATACATATAGGTATTAAACAGTTTCTGGTACAAGAATTAATGTCTATAATCAATAGATATGCTTTTACATGTCTCATTGATGTATGCTTCATATTTCCTTTCATTCTATTTTGTTATAAATTTTACCCATCACAGGTATTCTATGCTCAGCCGTTATACAACTATTCCTCTTAAAGTTTTTTTTGTTATACAGCTTCATCACAAAGTTTTTTTTTGTCAATATCAATATTAACAACAGCCTCCAAAAAGACAATGAACATGTTTTATACATCGCATCACTAATGTCACAAAGTTTTAAATGAAATAAGATTCTCATGGTAAAATCACCAACAAACCTACTGGCTGCTTATAAATTGAAAAAGATCTGCGATTTAGTTCAAATTTATTCCCTCATTTGTAAATAATTCCTAATAATTGAAAATAAAACATTAAACTGAGGAGAACATCCTGTGCACAGTCAATTAAAGTCAGAAGTAAAAAAAGATTTGGTCAGAAATATCATTGTGGAAAGCTCAATTTTTTTACTACATCAACATGCCCAGCAAAATATGATACTAAACTACAATTTTTTTCTTAAAGTTGGCTTATGTTCTTCTCATATATTTTATGATGGTATGATACTATACCCCTAACGGGAGGGATTGTGCCTGATTTTCATATGATGAAGACATAATCTTTCAATCAGTTTAATTGAGGTATGGAGCTGGCATGTCAGTAACTGCTAGTAGTCCTTTGTTAATATATGTATCATTGTCATTTTGCTTAGTTTCTTCTGTTACCTAATCTGACATCTGACTTGGACTTCTTTTAAACTGAGTTTTACTGTGTGTATTGCTGTGTGTTTGTTTATTCTACATTGGCTAGAGGTATAGGGAGAGGGTTGACATCTCACAAAACATGTTTAACCCAGCCACATTTTTGCCTCTGTCCCAAGTCAGGAGCCTCTACCCTTTGTTATTCTTGTATGTTTTTTTTTTATTTTGGTTCATTTATATGTTTCAGAGTTTAGTGTGACATCTATTTTCACTGAACTAGTACACATTTTTGTTTAGGGGCCAGCTGAAGCCCGCTTCCGGGTGCAGGATTTTCTCCCTGTGTTGAAGACCCATTGGTGGCCTTGGGCTGTTTTCTGCTCTTTGGTTGGGTTGTTGTCTCTTTGACACATTCCCCGTTTCCATTCTCAGTTTTATTTTATTATTTTTTTCAGACACTGCTCCTAATTTCATCTGATAATTTTTTTTTATCTTAGATGATCTTAGATTTGACATTATGAAAATTAAAAATATAAAGACAGAAAAAAAGAAACAAAGAAAAACTGCATTCTATCAAAATTCATAGACAGAAAAAGATATAAGCCTATCTCTTAAACTATCTGTTTGATCATCTTCTACCCCTAGGCAACAAAAAACCATTAGAGTCAACATACTACACATTATAGTTTATGTAGATTAAATGAACCATAGATTTGAAAGATTTCAGGGTTATGATAGATTATGAACACAGTGATTGACAATCTACATAGTCAATGAATCTGTTTTGATCCAGAGATGTCACTTGCAGTAAATTACATTTTATAAGAAACTGACAATGTCCAATTATTACAATAAAGATGGGTTATAAATAGATAATGCAAGGTTAAATGAAATATTCTTTAGACATTATTGTGACTGAATTAGATAAGCATGAAATTGCTTTTATTTGATTGAATGTCAAATGAAATGCTGCTAAATTGTACATTGTATCCTTGATAAAGCATTTGGTATTGTCACTATTGAGATGCGTGACAAGAATATTAGAGATATAAAGACTTAATCTACTACCCATTGATCTATACAGTTATCTGTTTATATTTTAGAAAATAACAATAGCTTACAGAATAATGACTAGGGGAAATTGTTAAGTGACTTTCCTTTTCACTTCTAATGCAACTTATATTAACGATAAAATGTAAGGTCTGTAAGTGTAATGTTACTGACTGACACTAGTACTGCCCAATTATATTGGCTTTAAACAATCTTGTTAGGAAATACAGATTGTTTTTTTTTTCATAATAAAAGTTATATATAAATCAATACAATATAAAATTAACAAGAAGTTGCATACACTGTCGATGTCATACAAAGAAAACCTCCAACCGTTTTAAGGCATCAAAGTTAAATTCCAAGAGGTATTAAGAATATTCAAAGCATTATTTGTTAAACAAGAAGTGATTGTCTATGAGACTATGAGATATGAAAATTGCTTACAACTTGTAGAACTTCCAGACCATATATCAAATCATTCCTAAACACAGAAGATGAGTAATATGTGAAGCCAGTTGAAGACAGACAAACAAACAGACTGACAGACTGCAGAACCAATTGACAGACAAGGACATTGCAGTGTACCTACCCCTCTGTAAGTGGGGTATAACAATCAATCTTTAAGCGAACAAATTAGATATTGATAATGTCACAATTTTACATGAATTAAGAAATATTAAAAAGTAAATATTCTGTGCTCTAGAGGAAATAACATTTTTCTCTTTTTATCAAGTTAAAATCTGCATTAAGCACAAGTTTGAATAAATAAAATTGACCTTGCATTAATATCTTATCTACTAAAAGTAACATATAAATCATGAAATGGTGTATGCTACCTTTTCTAAAGTGAGAAAAATAGCAGGATGGCAATAATGAAGAGTCTTGGGATTATTTTTGATAACTAAGTTCAATTCCCATTCAATGCTTATTTTTTTTATGTACATTGCTACAGACAGCCTCCCATTATTTTTATCTGATGAGAAACAAAAATAATATTAATGGCTATGGGGAAGATATAAAACATAGCTTCCCTAATCATTGATTACTATGATAATGTGATACTTTTGTGAAGAAAGAAACGGATATGAGAATATGTGTATGATGATGTTTGTTCCAACATGACAAAAAATTGGTGTATGCTTGGAGGATTTAACCTTTCCTTCTATTAACTATTTAACTATATATTTTTCATGTTTTTATGTCATTCTCTCAATTTAACATGTATAAATTAATGTTAATTCTAAGTTTACTACAATATTTTTTTATAAAATGTGTAAAATACAGATGGAATAGAATAACAATTACCCGGTATCCGTTGGTTATACACCATGCAGATAAAATGAGTAAAATAAATGTTGAAAGTATTGGAGGGGGATCATGAATTTGCAAAAAGAAGGGGGGGGTGTAATTGATTGGAACAGTAAAAATATGGCTGATTAATAGCTAGGTGCAATTAAAATAAAATATTTTATGTAAAAAATTATATTTTTTTCCTCTCATAGACCCATTGGTGTATGCCCTCTACCCTCCTCCCCCTAAATCTGCAACTGAGTATATCCAATACAAACATATCCAAGGAAAACAAATAATAAATATTATTCCTCTCTTCTGAGTTAATAGTTTTGGGCGTTTCCAAATGTACTCTTTTACATCTTAGTAAAAGGCTACAAGAATTAAATTTGAGTTTTCCAAATGCAAATATCTAATTTTTTAGGTTACCTAGAATAAATAATAATGTCGAAAGCTTTTTTCCTGTTTTTTGAGAGCAAATCTTCCTGTTCATTGTATCAAAATATGAAATGTCAATATTGCCCTGTAAGCACTTCACAAAATACCTGTTGAATGAAACAGGATATAACATATCATATTGTGAGGTAATCCAAGCTTTACTTACAAAGTGAATGATAATCAATCTTGTTAAATCTGCACTCAGTCCTTTTCTTAAAATTTTTCATAAGATACGCTAATGCTTCTCTGACCTGTATCCCAAGGCCTTTATGGAAGTTTGAATAAGCAGGTAGTGTACTAAAATGTACCTTTGTCCCTGTTCAGTGAAGGTTTGTTTTTGTAATACAAAAAATATTTTCAGTCTTGTAAACTGGTAGAAACATTTGTCTGTTGTTGAAGACCTCATGTGTACCCATAACTTGATCTTTCTTATCTGCTTTCATTGTGTGGTTGGGATGCTGTCTCAATGATATTTACTCAATATTTACTCAATATTTTTCCTTTATTCGTATCTATATATACTTTGCTTTACACCCCCAACATAGGTAATATAAGCATAGCATGAGAATCATACTCTGTCAACACACAATATATTTCCTTCTCTTTCTTACGAACTTCCTACATTTCTATTCGACTTGCAGTTAATTTTATCACTTAAGCTTTAGATTTAAAATGTTACTTATGGGGGCATAATCAAACAATGTGCTAGACCCTAATAGAATATTTATTCCTCTGCATATATGTACACATTGCTTTTTTATAAGCACCCTTCAACCATAGATGTATAAACCCATACATCTATGCTTCAACCATTTGTGTAGAAAAATGTAACAAAACTTGAAGCTTTTTAGACATTTGAGATTAAAATGTGTTCAATCCAGGACAAGCAATGTTAACTGAATACATCAAATTCCACTCCAGAGCAAAAACACCTTGTTTACAAAGCAAGTATACTGTTTCTATCATGATTTTACAAAATACAATAAATGTAATTTGAGATTTTTAATGTAATAAAAACATGTAGAACTCATCTTTTGAATAGAATAATTATTAGAGACACTTTAAAACCTTTTAATTCATTCAGAACAGTCTAAACTCTACCATCCATACATGGTCAATGCAGTGATGCAAGGGTACACCTGAATTTGTAATTGGCAAATTTCACTTTGTTTACCTGTCAATAGGTAATCTCTCCTGTCAAAATTATCTGTTAGGATATAAGTATTTTAATGTGTCTACCTGAGGTGAAAATGAAAGATCTGAATGTGTAAATGGACCAAAATGTCTATATTGTTCCTTCAAGCATGAATGAATTACAAGCTAAGACTTTTTCACTGTAAAATAAAGGATTATTACAAGATAAGCTATAATTTTTGAAGGTTGAAAAAGATTATGGTGAACAAATTCTGATATCTTTGTTTGACAAGTTTTGGATTATTTTTGGATGTTCTATAGTAAAACCTATTGACACTGGAATTTATTAAATTAGCTTGATCTTACTGAGATTGTTTCAAGTGGTCATATTATTGATTGGACATTCAATCTGGACATCAACTAGATTTGAAAACACAGAATAGTGTGACCAGTGTTTTGCTCAGAAATTTTCGGTGCTTTTAGCTTACTACTACAACTCTGAAGTTTGAAGGAAATATAATACAATGAATATAATTCCATCAAGAAAAAGTAATTCAGTGTACTTGTGGGCATGTCACGGTATTGACCAATTCGTTTATTAAGATTTTATTGATCGAAACTCTACAAGTTTAACGAAAAAGTAATAAACTGTGCAAATAATGGAGGAACAATGACTTATATTTTAGGAATTATCCCCAATGTGCCGTTTAATGACTGATTATTGGAGATGGACGCATTTCAAGTGTGATGATATTATTGACGTTATATACTTGCATGTGACAATTGTCTCCATACATATTTTGGAGCTTCAGTGACAAGTGCAAATAGGAGGTGTAATTTACATGAAACTAATTACTCCTACATAAACTTTTGTGAAATTTAAATGGCTTCAGACTGGAAATTTGTTTTGAAAAGGGATAAAATGGATATAAACTTTTTTAAATGTTTGTAAATAAAGGCTTTAAATTTGCAAGGAGTGAAAACTGACATTACACATGTTGAAATTTAACATCTGTAGCATATTTTAAGGATAATAAATGTGACTCTGAAAATGGCCTTTTAACTAGAGATTTTTACGAAAATTATTTAAAAAGGAGCTAATATCTTGTAAAGTTGGCACTTCTGAAAGTAAACAGACTTAAAGCATAATGAACTAAGTGACAATCTACAATTTATTTGAAGTGCAATCTACTTTTGATTTGAGAGAAGTGTTTCAAGCTCCATAAACAATGATATGATTTGGATAACTTTAATCGGTAGTGTTCTAGCTATGGGAGTTATTGTTGTCATATTAGTGAAGGTTTCTAGGGTGAGTATCAACTTCTTACGCTATACTCAAGTTTAATTTCAATTTGTCTTCTTTTTGATTTGTGAAATGTACATAAGGACATACCTGTATTGGTAGCAGGTTGGTACCTTATGACGTATGTTCTACCTCAAACAGGGTGGTTTATTGTTAACTTCTTTTTAAACTGGTACTCTATCAGAACACATATTTCATCCTGTTCCAAAAAGTAAACATTTCAACTGACCTATAGGATAAAAGTCACCTTAAATTACAAGCAGATTGTAACTTAAGTTCTTAATAAGAAAATGTACACATGGAGTGTGATAGATAATAAAAGATGAATTGTAAAGCTGCTCAATATATTCTATTTGATGTTCATTGGTATTGGCTTTGTCATGACAGATTCATGGCTGTCTCTGTTTATCATTTTCTTAGATGGCACATGACAAAAAATTCAAAAAAGTATTCTCTAGAGCCCATTTGTTTCTAACATTATTTTCGTCTCTGATAACACTGTTGTTAAGTAAACTTAATGCAGTCAGAAACAAATGCATTGTTTATCATGTAGTATAAGACATAACACAACAGATTTAGAAATAAATGCATCGTTTACACTAGTCTACAACAAATGAATGACAATCTATCAACACCATGATGCAACTACACTGAATGTACACTGTTTGCCTAAATCATGTCAACATTGACACAGAACTGTTACAAACTGATGAATTCAATAAAACATTCCATTTAGAAACTAATGTGCTCAGAGAAAATATTCTAAATATAAACATGTAGATTTTAGTAACATTCAAGATGAAGAACAGCTATAAGAATGCTGATATATAGGTAATTCTTAGCATTTCATGACATTTTTTGCTCATGGAAATCAACTTTATATCCTTTCTTTTCATACCTTATAACTTTTGTTTGTGGAGATCATCTAAACTCAATAACTTATGTCAAAGTATGTTAGATATGTACAGCAGGTGGTTGTCATTATTCATTATTCTTTCCCTTCTTATTTATTTTTTACCTGCTTTTGCATATTTCTTCGGTCAGTGTCTGGGCATTCTCAATACTGCAACAAAACAAAAGTAAATACATTAAGCTTCATTATATCAACCCTGACAAGCCTTATATATAATTAAATTGGTTTTGTACTTCCTAAACCCTTTTATGTGCAGAATTTGGATGCAACAGATAAGCCAGTCATGAAAACTAAATGCAACAAATTATGTTACTTTATCAATACCCCTCTTTAGTAATTAGCTACAGACTATCCCTAAAGATATTTTATATGCTGCATTTAGTGCAATAATCATGATTAATAGTAAATATAAGAGAATTCTGCTTGTTCTTGTAGAAATTATCAGTCTAAATGATAATGTAGGTAATTTATTTCTGGCAATTTAAAACATTAAATATTTCATTACAGATGATAAAGCAAGAAAGAAAACTGATATCAACACAATAATCCTAATGTACACATGACACACCTAACTAAAATGTAAAACTAAAGTGTGGAATATATTGTGTTTTACTGGTCCCCTTAGCAAAAGGCTAATATTTCTATCTTATGAATAATTGTATTAAAATGAAATTATTTTAGAGGCATTGTTGCTGATGTTTGAGTGACCCTTAACCTGTAACTTATCATTTTACATTAAAGACCAAAAATCTATACTAAGTATAATGTTTGGGCGACTGTCGGATTTTAGGACTGAATGAGAGACACGGATAACATTATATGCCCCAGTCATTTAAGTGCAGGGGGCTTTAATGATGACAAAAACTATTTACAAAAGAAATAGGTAATAGGTCAGCAGTTACTTTTTTTTTTACTTTGTCTCAATTAAAGACATTATGTGACATAGCAAATGGGCTATAAATTCATCCTCAGGCATGCAAACCAGTTTACTACAGCAGAGAAACTATTTATAAAGGGATAAGTAGTCTGTCAGAAAATCATATTTTTTTTACTTTGTCTCAATTAAAGACATTATGTGACATAGCAAATTGTCTATTAAATTCATCCTCAGGCATGTTAAATAGTTTATACTACAACCTATGATATAAGTACTGTTATACTAAATATAGATGTACATGTATCTATGATTTCATGAAATAACAATTGAATGCTTTATTACTCATTATTCAATAAGGGCCCTGAATCATTGTGGGAAACCAGGAAAATATTAATCAAAACTAAAGTGGTCACATGAAGTCATCTTTTTCTTGGACCATAGAAATTAGCACTAAAAATGTCTCTCACCCCTGATAACTTTGTGGAGACAATCCTCTGCTAGAGCTGTGTCTATAAATCTCCCACTTTAAAATGTTACTTTATGGAAATCTTATTATAAATCAATATTTGTACAACATGGAGTCAATGAAGTCTAGACATGCACTGGCAGTCTATGCTTATTCACTTTATAATTATACAAGTCAATTAAAGAGTGACTTTGTTTACATAACTATGACCGACTTCAAAAGAACATGTATTTCATACAAAATATGAGAGAAATAAAAAATAAAATCCACCTGACTTTTTCAACTCTTCTCGAAATATGTGTACCATTCCAATTTTCCAGGGTATATCAAGTTATATTTTACGATTAGACCATTCGAAAGTTATTTGTTTGAAAATTTCCCTGGATTATGATTGTTATTGTATTTAACTTGCTTTTAAATTTAATAATTAACTATTTTACTGTCTTTCAAACACCCTTTTTATTGATTTTTTCAAATCACATTTTTAAGATTTAATATCAAAGTTTTTCTAGTCTTCAATTATGTGTATCAAAGCAATGATTATAACAGACCACCTTGATTTATATTTTGTTCGATTAGAAATTGTAAAAGATGTTTTCTTGGCAAATTTAAACCTTAAAGAAATTTAATCATAGTAAATAAATTTTATCAAAACATGTCATATGTAGTAAACTGAAAAAGGAATATGTTTCTCTCACTTCAGATCAAAAGATTTGGTTTTATAATGGCAATAAGTTTTTGTATACCTTTGGGTCATATATCCTATATCATCTTTAGATATATAACTTGATATTCAGTTTGGTGGATCAGTCTGAACTTTTAACACTACAAATCTGAAATAAATGAATATTTGCTTAAGTTTGTGACATTGAATTAAGAACACTTGTCCACCCTATTGATAGCCTATTAACATATCTGACCATAGACAGGACGTCACAATACTGACCTCCATATATCTATAGATATATATTTTATGGTGACACTTCAAAGCCTATACATGTGTACTAACCAGTGTGAAATACTTAAAAGTTCAGAATGAAGGACATTTCACATGAAATTTTTATGTAATATTTATTGTATCTGAAGATTTGAAACAAACTAAAACATGAACATAGTCATGTTTACCTAAAAAGAGTCCATGGTCATGATATTTATATTTGAACTACTTTAATTTTTTGCTTGAGCAAACTGAGGTATTACACCTGCTAGGGTTACCTGATCCTTCCATGTTATACTGTTAAAGCATTCAAGAGGAGACAGAATATATAATACTAGTGTCAGTACACAGGCAAAGAAATCTTTCACAATCATGTCAAAAAAAAAAGTTCCAGAATTCAACAGGTTCTATTCTAAAAAGTCAAGTTTTATCATTGCTGTAAATGGGGGTTCATGTACTACATTGTACTAAAAGGACATATTATTAACTGCTTAAGAATTTACATTTAAAAATCTGACATAAGACATTGCTATTAATGGCTAACAGTTAATTATAGGTAAAGTGACTGAATTGGGCATTTTAAGGTGCTCCCATTTGGTAACAACATATGTTAGTTCCATATTTGCCTCAACTGTAGTATATTCTCATAGAATGGACTATTCTCATCTGACCCCTGTGATTTTAGCAACACATTGGATTTCTTTTCCTAACTTGTTACAGTAGAGTTAGTTGTTTTATCAACAATTACCATTCAACAAATAATATTAATTTAAAAATTATAAAGAAACTAAGGTTTCAACTCCCTCAGGTTGACTGTGAACGATTTGACTATTTTTTAAGTACTTTTTGGTTATATAGCTCTTCAACTGTTTCAGTTCTTATACATCCTCAGCTTTCAAATATTCAGCTTTGAGCGTTCCTGATGAAGGTAATCCAGAAAAGTGCTTTGGATGCATGAAATTAATAAAATGTTGTTTTCACTTTTTAATAAGAAACAAGTATAAAAACACAGTACAGGCCAATTAGACAGCAACCTAACTATATGAAAACAATAATGTGAACAAAATTGACAATTTCAAACCCTGCACATATATTTTGAATATGAAAACATTTGTATTGATGGCACTTTAATTTTACAATAGAAGTTCAATCAGTATGTACGGTCTTGTTTGTATTGTGGTCAGTAGTTGAACAATAAAATTAATCAAGCAGCCAATCATCCTTCTGATTACATGGCTTTATCACCTGTGACCACTGACCACTGACCATACTCTATAATCAGACACTTTTATATACCTCTTATATTGTATTAGTACAAGGGCAATATAAACTGTAAATATTAGTTAACAGTACTTCATTGAAATTTAAATACCATCAATTTCAGATAAATCATGTGATATTAAATGCTGATTCACCTAAATAGACCTATTTGATTGATCTCCTCAATCTTTAAGTTTATCAAAGTTTTATAGCCCAGGTATTTCCTGTTTTCATGGATCAAAAATGAACTGTAAATTTGTGATAAAATCTAGTTTGTATATCAAATCACTTGACATGCCTTGGGTCAAATATTATTCAATATTACACCTTATTTAATCAGGAATGTTTCCTTAAACAGAAACTGTTTCTAATCCTCAGATAATATCGGCATGAACAGCATTATTTACATATAAAAGTAAATTACTGTGTTACCGTAATAGAACTCTAACTGGATTATAACTAGCTTAATAGGTATTATGCCCTCAAGCAAAAAATGGGACTTCATTTTCACTTATTCAAGTTTATGAAATGATAAACATATGTAAACAGTTATATGTAAATATTTTGAAGTTAGTTAGAAACATAAAAATTTGAAGATTTGTAATAAATAGAGATATGTATCTGGAATTCAGTAACCAGTGGTTACAACCAATGAATTATTAAAAAAATAGTTGCATAGAATATGAGAGTAGAGATTGATTCTTGTTTGCTTAACATTCAGCGGAAATAAATGTCATGCAAATTCAGACTAAAAACCACTTATTTAATAAATAAGTTAATAGATACTATTGGTTCTAAAAACAATGTGTGATGAAGTAAAACAGTCACATAATGTTTATGTCCACAGAAAAAAAAGAGGTCAGTCATTTCAACTTGAAACATATCACCTTCAGTCAGTTGTAACCTGGGTTTTAAAAACATTCTGAAACCATTGCTCTTCTAGCACTGGAATTTGGATTTAACCCCAACCCAGCAGGACAAACAAGAGGAGGGAAACTTAACACTACAATACAAAATGTAGCTTCAGCAAAAAATTATTGCAAGTATAAAATCAGTCAATTAATTGCAGAGTAGAAAATGAAAATATGAATTTCAATGGGATTCAAAATTTAACTTTTTGTCAGTCTGTTACCACCATGTATACTTTCAATCAGCATAAAGGTGAATTCTTTATACAGGGTCATCTGATCATGATTCTTAAAACATTTGAAGATTTTGCAATGCAATTTCAGGGGAAAAGAAAATTAGAATTTAGTATTCAATTTTGTCTTGGTAGCCACATTTTTTATTCGATTGGAACAAAATGAAGAGTTTTATATACAAGAATTTCCATTCATTATTCAAAAATAGTTGTTTAAGCACAATAATTTTAAAAGATATATGTGACAGTCAACTCATGCAATTTATAAATAAGAAGATTTGATTTAAAACTTAATATCAAACAATTTTATATTTTTTGACATGAACAAAAGTAACAATATTCAACTCAACATCAAATATTTTAGATCTCCTCTTTCCCATACACAATGTTTCCAAAGTATCAAACAATCAATCAATTACATGGCATTCTTAGTTAAAGAGAGATAACTCTAAACTAAAAATATAGTATTGTATTTACACATTTTACCCCAATGTTAACATTATTTATGAACAGAGGTTTGTGAGTAAGCAAATAAAGAAGGAAATGACTTGGATAATGCTATTACCTTATACAGAACCATTATGAGAATATCTCTGGGGAGTATTTCAAGAGAATATTTCATCGCAGCAGTTCCACTATATCAAATGTTGGTTACCTAGAAAAGATAAATGCAGAACAGTTTTGAGCTCATTAATTAATCAATAGTCATTTGTATTGTTGAAATATGAGTTGGTGTCTGCATTTTTTAAGGTGATACTGTTTTGACCTCTTCAGGATATACATATACATATATCACTGTCTTGTTTCAGAGATGAATTACCCTAATCAATTTTAATGTGTGTACTTATTACAGTTCCAAGATTTTTATGAGTCATTCTCTTTAATTTACTACACACATTGGGAAATAAATCATATGTACAAACAGATGCATTTTTTCAGTCCAAAATAACTCAAACTGACAAAAGTTGTCTTGTTTTCATTTGGCTTACTAAGATGTCTGACTGCATATTTGTGGTTTTCTGGAGCAGTTAGCTATCTTGGACTATTTTTAAGTACTACATGTATTAACAACACATAAAATTGAAACACTCCTTGAGTTCAAAATATGGATTTGAACAACAATAATTACCCATAAAAGCAAGTATCTAAAACTTGTTACATTTATTGAAAAAAAATTGTTTCTTTAAAAGACAGCTTTGCTGCAACTGTGTATAATGTAATTATAAAATGAATGTCCAGCATAATGCAAAAATATAACATGTTTGGCTTAAGTCCAAGAATGGCATTGATTTACCAAGTACAAGCAAAATTTCAAGATTTGACTGAAAATTTATTTCATTACACATATATGATATGTACAAGGACCTTCATAATTACCATCAAACTTCAAAATCTGTACATATTGGCAAAAAATATAAAGAATAGAGAAAAATGGAACATACTTACTAACTTACTAGAGTCATTGATGATTAAAATTAAGGAAGTGATGCATATGGTCTTATTTCTATCTGCTTTGATGTTGGTTTTTTTCAATGTTTTCACCTTTTACATGTTTGAAATGTTTGCAACTGAACATTTACTTAGCAAACAACAATCAATCAGTTTTAAGTATATGCACTGACAGATAATCATTCTTTATTGGGGGTCTCATTGGGGGGTTCTGATCCCGGATCCCGCTTACTGCTTTGTCAGATTCCCGTATCCCACTTACACTATGTACGTAAGCAATTCTCATTTTTTTGTAATTTCCCCGTGTCCTGCTAGACTTCATTTCCCGTTTTCACGGCACAATAATTTGACCTTCACGTGTCACGCTTACAAAAAATCGGCAATCCCGGGTCACGCTTAGACCCCAATGAGACCCACTTTATTCACATCTTATTGCTAAAATCTAGGACTCTAATATAAGTCTAACCACAGACATATATACAAATCTATATATATATGTCTCTAGTCTAACAATAAACCATTAAGGTTGTAATAAATCTTATATAAAATGATGGTAGTGGTGGTATCCGATAACAAATGTTTTTATCAATTCATTTCGGTATAAACATCAACTGAAACTATATTTTAGAGCTTGCCAACTTGATATAAAAAGAAGAAATGTATTATATTTTATGTTTATCTATTTTATATATTGGATTTGATTTGTAGTATGAGATTTTAGGCTCACATTTCCAGAATTACAGTTTTGTACTCTATTTCCCACAGTATCTATTACGAAAAACAAGTAAATAAATTTCAATTATGAAAAATATTAAACAGTTGTGTATTACTTCTTTTTTTCCAATTTTCTCTGCAGACTTCTCTCATTACCCTCTATTATTGTAAAATTCAATATCCAATTTTCCATCATAACGAAAGTGGCAAAAGGGGAATAATTCAATGGAGCTCTCCAATATGGAGTCTCGAAAAATGTTGTCGTTTGAAAGACCCGGCAAGCCAAGACAATGAATTTGATACTTCAGCCTTGTTTTAAACTTATCAGTTGTAAAATGAGGGTAAAAATACGTTATTTGTATTCAATATATAATTAATGTAAATAATCACACCGCTGGAAATGATCAGATTGGAGTTCTCTCTGTCGTTATTTTCGTCTCACCTCTCACTGAGTCTCAGAAATGCGACTGCGAGATATATACAGATGCTTTCCCGTCGCAACATAAGCTCTTTGGAAAAAGCTTCATATTTTAAACATGTTGGGGACAATCACCCAAATGGGTCACAATAACCCATTTGGGCACAGGCACTTGTCTCTTCAAAAAATATCTATATATATAGGATACACAAATAATGAAATATAAAACAAGAAGTTGAAGAACCCAACTCATATTTTTTGAAAAATGATTTTCTGTTGTCTTTCAATTCTGCATTTGTCTATCTCACTGAGGCTGTTAAGTCGAAAATCTCATTAATTTATATATACAAAATACCTTAAATGGTGTATTACATGCCTATTTCTGTTCTCAAAATCATTAGACTTAGTAGTACCAGAGACATATAATACAAGAGATTCGCAACTCGGCGAAATCCCGTAATAACACGCGGCCACTAGTTAAACCTCGCGAGATCTCCTTAGGTAATAAAGTCATTAATAAAAGTATTAAAAGTACTCGAAGTAAGGACGAATGTTTAAGCATAACATAAACTGTTTCAGTGTTAAATTTATCATAATTAATTAAATATAATTTGAGTACTTATATAATTATTTATTTTAATGTAATTTTGATTTTAGATTTGTATTATTGAAAAAGAGACATAATTTGATATTGTATAAAAAAAAAACTGATATTAAATAATTAACACTTGATAAATTGTGTCAGAGTTCATTTTATTTGATAGTTACATAATGGGTTTCTATTGAATATACACCTGTCTCGGAGACATTATTTCACAGTGTGACATGTATATTAGGTTTGAATTATTCGATGACCAGGTAAATCACGAACATGTTATAAATAATGAGTTTTAATTGACACCTTGTAAACAAGAAGTTGTCACACCACAGGTGTCCACACTCTTTCCAAAAATACAATTCACAAAATGTATAATTAATTAATATGGAAAAAAACTTAATGTATTTGTTAATTAATTGTTAATCATGATAGGCTTTGTTTTTTATTCTTGATATTTATAAATTATCAAAATTTTATTTATTTTTATATTCCTCATTTATTGGGCTTTCATTGAGTTTTTTTTTCTGTAGGATTGTCGGTAAATGTTTGATTTCTAAGTGTTGTTTGACAGTTTTATCATATAGGCTTGCATTGAGTTGTTTTTTTAAATGATTGTCGGTAAATTTATGGTTTCTTCATGTTCGAAGTGTGTATTGAGAATTAATATTTAATAAAATTACAATTAATTTCTCATTTGAATAAAGCTTCATTCATGTGCACGCAATATGGAAAATTCCGATTTTATTTCGTGGGATGACAATCTTAATAGTTACGACTTAGATATACTCCTAGTTGAATAAACTGATAACGAACTCTTTGTTGATATTGAAAAAGACGAAAACATAAGCGAGAGACCCACCAACAAAAACAATTGACAATACTGCATACATAGATGGATATGTATGTCCTCGAAGCAACAAAAAATCTATAAAAAAACACAGGTCATACATCAAAGCAACACGGAAGACACTATTTAAAAGGTATTTTATAACCTTGTTTCCACGAGACCATCCTTTGTAGTGGTTTTTGTCTTTTAATCATTTGTAGCGGTTTTTGTCTTTTTATTCTGGGGTAAAGAGATGGCAATTTAAAAGTAAGATTGTTTATGTGTATACATATACAAATCCTTGGTGTAAATAAAATCTTTTATTATCAAATATATATATATATATAAAAGTCTAAATTGAAAACAACGTTCAAACCTATGATTGCGTTGGATAAAAACCCGCAATTTTTATATGTGTGCATGTAAAACAAATTTCTTGGTAGAGGGGTCTTAATACAGCACAAACAACAATTTCCAAAAGACCAAAAAAAGTGAAAAAGTCTATTTTAACAAAACGCATTTGACTAACAGGTCGAACAACTGATGTTCTTAAACCCTGCTGACTGCCATTGGCGATTGCCAAATACTAGGAAAATTTTACTCCTTTTGTAAATTTACTGCATTCGTTCATCTTTGGCACCCTAAAAAGAAGAAAAAAACAATGACTTCAGAATAGGAGAAAATAAACAACTTTGATATAAACAGAATGAAAAATGAATAAAATGTCTAACAAAATGCAGGCTATAAATTTCATAGTGCACAAAAAAGAAGGACTGATTTAAGGAAATTTGTCCATGAACAATTTCAATATTTAGCCAGTTTAATAAAAAATTTCGGGTATCAATCAGAAAAAATCGCCACATTGTTGGTTCAAATTTTACGAAAATAGTCTTATTTTCAGTCACGAAACAACATTTGGGAGTACTATTGGCCCATAAAATTATATATTTATTAGCATATTTTCAAGTTTTAAGAAAAAAATTGGGAGATCAAATGGTTTCTACGGCAATAGGTGAAGTAAAATGGGCCGAGTTTTAACTTTGTTTGTATTTGATTAATCTCATCATTAGAACACATTTTATCAATAACAAATTATTAGAATTAGTTTTTTGTAACTTTTAAATATACTTGCATGCTTTAGCTGTGAAAGGTATCGGCATTATCCATTAGAAAAATCGTGAGGCGTAGAACCTTTTACACAACAATACGGGTTATTACCCATAAATCCATCGGATTAATCGGCTTTCCGGTGGCCACGTCATTTCATTGGCTGTTATATAGACTCTACTAGAGTTGCGAATCTCTTGTATTATATGTCTCTGGTAGTACTAGCAGGTCTTCCAAGTAGGTCAAGTTGACAACAGTAACTTATTTCATCTTCTCACCGCAAACAAGGCAAATAGGATATTATAACCCATTTGGGTGATTGTCCCCAACCTTTTTAAAAGTTAGAGCTGGATGGTTAGATGACACAAATGGATGACTGTATTGTATTTTAACTTCTTTTTCTTAAGCTTGGTTGTAATATGTAGGTTTTATTTTACTGCTGTTAACCCTCTTGCTGCTAGATGGACACATGTCCACACCGGCTGTGCCAGAGTGACACTTGTCCATGATTTGATTTATTCAAGCTTTTCATC